TGATTGCTGTATAATTTTACACTTTCCATTTCACTATATTGCACACCACAGTTTTTTTTTTCTTCCACCGATCCAAGCTTGCTCCTGTGATGGACTACAATTTCAATACAAACTAGTAGTCCATCACTGGAGCCATTTTTTAAAATCCCGATTAACCGGTTAATTGAACTTAAAATTTGGCTAACTAATCGATTTTGAAAATAATCATTAGCTGCAGCTCTAGATAAATGGTCACCCTACACCAGGCATCCCCTACTAACCACCAGGGAGCCTCCACTGGCCACAGTGGAGCTCCCACTACCCACCTGGGAGCTACCACAGAGCCACCACTGATTATTAGGGAGCCCCCACAGATCCCGCACTGACCAGCAGAGAGCCCGCACTGACCACCTGACAGTCCGCATTGGCCACCTGAGAGCCTAATTAGGGAGCCGCCTCTGCTGCACCCACACGCACCCGTGAAACTCTCTGGACCCCTGGTGAGAGCCCGCACAACCCTCCTGAGACCCTGGAGACATCGGGCGGCGAACCCAGAGCAACAGAGTATGTAGCTTCATATTATTCTGCATTGATGTAATATGTATTGCCGGGATTTGTAGTCCTCTATAGCTGATGCGGTTCTGCATTGCTGTATAATGTATTGTTGGGATTTGTAGTGCTCTATAGTTGATGTTGTTCTGAATTGCTGTATAATGGTATTGCTGGCAAGAAGAGGAAGAGGCAGAGCGGGAGGGGGGCCAGGTTTCTGCACCATGGGCCTCTGGGTTGTACCTGGGTCAAAAGTTGCCAGTCATCCCCTGCCCGCAACCTTGAAGGTGTCCGGCAGTGCAATCATCCTCACCATTAGAGGCTTTGTAGAAGACCCGGCTCTTCTTAGACTCTGTGCCTCTAATGCGTCCCTGGTAACGCACAGACACCTACTCCTTGTGTTCTCTGTGATCCGTAGCCTAGACACCATTTTGCTTGCTACTTTAAGTCACTTCATAAGCCCCAGAGCCTTCCTTTTCTTGTGCCTCGATCTCTGTTTTTTTGTTAGTACATGAGCACTGTAGCCCACCTGACTGGCCCCTTGTGCTGCTTATCCTTCTCCAACTCTTTGCTCAGCTGTACAGGGGACCCCCGCTACCAAGCCAAATTCTGAATCCTGAGAAGGAACACCAGGGAGAAACTTTGGATGCTGGAGGTGCCTAAGAAGGCAGAATTTGGCTGTGACCTCACAGGAAGTTTGGTGTCTCACACATGGAGTCTGTGCTATGTGCACACTATAGTCAAGTGCTCTAGAATCACATGATGTCTGTCTGGCTTTAAATGTCCCTGTGTCTGTAATTAACAATGCACACCTGCACACAGCCCTGGTGAGTTTCGCACACAGCCCTGGTGAGTTTCGCACACAGCCCTGGTGAGACCTGCACGCAGGCCTGGTTAGACCCACCAAGACACACAAAGACCGCACACAGACCTGGTAAGACTGCACAGCCCTGGTGAGATCCGCACGCAGCCCTGGTGAGACAGCAGCAACTCTGGTGAGACCGCACAGCCCTGGTGAGACCCCGCACAGCCCTGGTGAGACCCCGCACAACCCTGGTAAGAACGCACAAAGCCATGGTGAGACCCCGAACATCCTACCGAGACTCTGCACAGCCCTGTTGAGTCTCGCACACAGCCTTGGTGAGACCGCAGGCAGCCCTGCTGAGACCACACACAGACCTGGTAAGACTGCATGCAGCCTGCTGAGACCAAACGCAACGCTGGTGAGACCGCACAGGCCTGGTGAGACCACACACAGAACTAGTGAGACCCTGCACAGCCCTGGTGAGATCGCACACAGCCCTGGTCAGACTCCGCACATCCTTCTGAGACCGCGCACAGCACTGGTGAGATTGCGGACAGCTCTATCGCTGGTGGTATTTTGCATTGCTGTATAAAGTATTGCTGAGATTTATAATCTCTTTGTAGCTTGAAGTCAGTGGCAGAACTACCAGGGTCGCAGTGGTTGCAGCTGTGACTGGGCCCTGGTCCTCCACCACTGTCCTAAAATAATCAGTATCAGTACTTGGTCCGGCACACCAAAACCAAAACCAGCCAAGGACTTAACCCTGAGGTGAAATGCTAGCCCACCCTGCCTCTCGGGCCCCTCATATGCCTTTGGGGTACTATATATACAGTCATGGGAAAAATGAAGTACACCCCATTGAAATTGTTGAATTTTTCTTTAATTGATCAGTTTTCAGCACATTGTTCTAGTAGGCCTGGTCTTTGCTTACATGTTCAATTGCAAACTGCAGTCTTGCTCTATGCTTTTTTGGACAGCAAAGTCTTTTTCCTGGCTCACTTCCCACACAAGTTAAATTGGTGCAATCTCTTTTTGATTTTTCTAGTATTCCACTGTATTGCAATTATATCCACAGTGTAAAAGGATCCCCACCAGGACTCACACATTTCTAGCTGGCTTAGTGTTAGGACATAGATGTGCACACTTGAGAGTTACAAGGGTCTCATTGTCAGGGCCGTCTTTAACGCAGGGCAAAAGGGGCAGTTGCCTAGGGCCCACTCATTGTTGTGGGGCCCAAAGCAGCCGCCCCTTGAGCAGGTCCTGCGCTGCAAAACTCCTACCACTGGCCCTACATCTCAACAATGACAGCAGAGCGCTGGATGATCGCAGAGCGGGTCACACGGAGAGAAGAGCTAGGTGGATGGGTGCTGGAGGGGGAGGCTCTCCTATGACCTGGACTCCGATGTTCACTGGCCTTTGCACCTGGATGGGGGCGAGGGAGCCTGCCGGGTGAGGGGACTACAGCCTGAATCAGGGCACCATAAACAGTGGGTGTCTGACGGGGAGATCCTGCATGTCTGTACTGGCTGCTGCATGTGTGTTTTAGGGAACACTAAACGTCCAAAGAGAGGGGTCACTATGCTGCTTGTCTACATGTGATGCGGCTCACTACATGCTTTCCATGTACATATGATGGGGAACACTACACGCTACACGTCAGTGCTAGCGTAAGGCTGCATAGACAGTTGTCTGAGGGAGGCGGGGGGAGAGGGGGGGTGAAAAAAACACCTTCACCTATGTACACAATAATCCTTGCACCAGCTCTCCCCTTGAGCCCACAAAAGATACACCCGCACCACTCTTCTGTTTATTGTGCGATCGGTATTGCATAGTGTTGCTCGGTCCCTGTCGTATAGCCATATGCATGAGCGAAATTGCAGGTCGGGGGCGGGTTACGGGGTGTTTTGTATGGGGGTGGTTGGTTAGGGGGTCGGGGGGGTAGGAGTGGGGGGCCCAAGAAAATGTTTGCCCAGGGTCCAATCAGTATTAAAGACGGCCCTGCTCATTGTGGACTAGTCAGCAGTATACATGTTTATGTAGTTTGCTTGTCAGCATTACTGACCACCTTTTGAATGTTGTCTACCTATACAGTACAATTGCTGTATGGTTTATTCTGTATTTATGCCTTCTTCATTAACCTCTTTGAAAATTTCAGCTTAAAAAATAAAGCCAGGCTGTGTCTGTTGCCCCATCATTCTTGAGTGTATTACGGTACTAGGCATTGGGTGGTACCAGATTCACGTAGGAACTGTACCTGCATACTTATCAAAGCCAACACTTATGGGTGTGTTACCATTGTTTAAAACACAAGCAAAAGAAATCCGTATTGAGAAAGTTATTTAAACTGCAATTGTTAATCTCCTGAAAATGCTAGTTCCTTTCTGTGGTTTTAATATTTTTTTGAATCATCGACCTGGAACAAGTATGAAATTGAGGAGTCCCAACTTCTCTCTGAATTTACTGGTTGATTGCTTGTTCCAAGTCAGTGGCTCAGAAATGTCAGTAATGGCAGACCTTGTATTTCTCTCTGCATAGGTTTCTTTTACAGCTCTCTTCTGACCTTGGTGTTCAGTTCTCTTCAGCCTTGAAATAATGCATCTTTCAGGTGATTAGGACATATCAATGTCTTCTCATAAAACTACCAGGCTCATTTTTCAGTATATGGAAAAAAACATTCAATAAATTTGTCTTGAACAAGAAACGACCAAGGATGGTCAACTAAGATGTTATTAGATCAAAGGGGGACTGGGTCTACCTTATATACAATCATATTATAAGACTGCCACTCTATCCTGGCTTATGGGTTAGATTAATTTAGAAAAGGTCATACGCTGGCTATACACTGGTAGATTTTTATATGGACATGCATACAAAAAAACTGATCAGAAAATTTGATAATGCCATCAGAAACTCGTAGAATGTCGTTTTGAAAATAAGTTTGGTTTTGACATTCGATTTTTGAATAAATGGAGTTTCCCAAACAAAAACACATTCACTTTTAGAATTTTGTTAATTCAAGAAAAATATTCCATTCTGTTCCTTCAATTTTCATCATCCCTATTGTTTGTCAACTTGACCCCATTAACTATTAGAAAATTGAATGAATTTTCCTAAGGCCTCGTTCACACCAGACACAATGCGTTCCGGCCTGATTCTGGCCAGAACGCACTGCATCGCATTGCGGCCAGCTCACTATGTTGTGGGGCAGGAAGGGGCGTGGCGGTCCATTGAAGCGATAGGCTGCACAGGATCGCAAGGCACATTATGCCTGTGAACCGGTCCGAATAAAATAGTGCTTGCAGCATTTTCTTTGGACCGGACCGGGCTAGAACGCAGGCATAATGTGCCCTGCGATCCCGTGCTGTGATTGCATTGCCGCCGGAGCGCGTGGCTATGGTGCCATTCACTTCAATGTACCGCAACGCCCCCTCCTGCCCCACAACATAAGTGAGCTGGCCGCAATGCGATGCAGTGCTCTGGCCAGAATCGGGCCGGAACGCACTTTGTCTGGTGTGAACGAGGCCATTCTACTGGTGTATGGCTAGCTTTAGCAAGAAGAAATCTAGCACAAGCCTTGCAGTTGGACCTAATAAATATAAATGAAAATATGCAAAACACTATACATTCTCTTTAGGGCTACAATGGTCATCTTTCATGAATGGGAAATTTATTTCTGTAATTTAAGTTTAATAAACATCACATTTGATTTCTCTGTTTTTCTTTTTTTAGAAAAATGTACAGAATTTAGTAAATCTAAGGACACTTGTTTCAGCCTGGGGCTTCCAAAAATTAGAACAATAGATTGTGAAGGAGAATAACTATAAATGATTATCAAACAGACACAGAACCCTGGGCTGCTGGGGGGAAAGGCATCTATAAACATTAGAATTTCTGCTATATAGAAGAAAATATATAACAGTAGTAGGCAACTTATTGTCCTTGCTGCCCGAATCCGACCTTGAGCTCTTGCACTCAGTTCCCCATTTACATTTTTATCCGAAATGTTAGTCACCAGTGACTTGATAATCATTCCATTGGCAACAGCGACTAAGATCAGAGGAAGAGAGCAGCTTACAAGGTTACAGGTGAGAAAGTAATAAACATTCAGTTTAGAGACAATTATTTCCTCAGTCTCATTGCTTGAAATGTTTAAAGTTGGAGTATCTTTGTACAAGTTCCAGGCTGCAGGGACACCCGTTGCCATTGCCAAAAGAAAAGAAGCCAGGAGAAGGTGGGGAATTATTTGGGAGACTGCAAACTTGATCCGAATGAAAAGTGGATTGGTGAAGATAACAATCTGCAGACAATAATTGACAGAGAGACAAACTGTGAACCAGAAATTGGAGTAAATGGGAAGGTTCAGCATGATTGTGAACAGAGTGTAAATCTCATCCGAAAAGTAGAGATCACTGTTGAGAAAGCTCAGGAAGTCATTTGCCAGCATTATGAACTGAAACAGAACATTATTTGCACCCATAGTAACCAAAATAAGGTCAGAGGGGCTTAGAGCCTTGCCCATCACTTTGTCAAAGATGTTTACAGTGATGATGAGTGAGTTGGTGAAGACACCCATTATGGTGCTGGCACCCAGTATAGTCATGGAGACTAGAATAAAGACTGGAGGCATTAGAAATGTACATCCAGATTCACTCTTCTGAACAGTCAGGCAAACGTGAGATATATGTCATTGCAAAATGCATCAGCTTATGATTTCTTGGTTCCAGACAGGATGCCTGAAATGTTTTATTTAAAATGAAAGGCAGTTAGAGTTTATAGAAACATAGGATAATGTCTTAAACATTACATTATAAATGAAGGCTGTCCAGATGGAAAGAGGGCCTAGCAAATACACTGGATCGGATGGAGTAAAATGATCTATGGTTTACTGATAATGGAAACACTCATAAAGGAAATGCATACCTCTGTAGTTGAGACTTAGTGCCTATAGAATATGTGCTCGCAAATGTCCCTAAATGTTTTAAAAGGACAACAGCCTGGTAGCACAAGGATAAGCACTGTGTGATTCTGCCAAAAATACTCAGTGCCTTTAAATTAAATTAGAGTTAAAACTAGTCATCCAATTTTGAAGCCGGAGAGATGTCCTTCCCATAACATTCAAGAGGTGAAAATTTAACTAATGGCACTGCTATCAGAGAAAAATGACTGTTCTTAATAATACTTAAACATTCTTAAAAATGTATAGTGGTTATGTATATTTGTATTTATTTATATTGTCCAGGACTAAAACAATAGGAACAAAGGTACATATGAAATATTGCATACAACCATGCAGTCTTCTATCTAGTCAGCAGGTATAGGTTTAGGTTCCTTTCACATAGTTTTTCTCTGTATGTTTGGTTGCTTGGTCACATTTGTAAGTTAGACAAACAAGCCATAAGGCTATGATGCATCTTTAAATAAAATATAGTGCTCTGGAAATCCTTTATTATGGGTGTAAAAATATATCTGAAAAACAAAAATTGTATATACTGGGCAAAAAGCAGATACAAACATTTCGAAAATGTAAGAAAAAGGATTAAAGAAAAAAGCATTTTAACGATTATAGCTCTCTATGACATGAATGCCTTTGATCACTTATACCAACTTTTGGGACTTGGACTGGCCACTTCTTTATTTATGTTCTCCTATATCTCTGGATTTTCCTGGATAATCATATTTTCTCCTTTTGTACCCCCTTCTCTCTCTCTTTTGTTTTATTTCACTGTCCTTTTGTTTCTGAGGCTTTGGTTCTCATATATATCCTGCTATGCTCAGCCCTCCCTCTGTTAGACTACTGTACCTCATGTACTATTAGAGGAGAAAGCTGGCCTGTTAAATACTTATATCTTGTTAAAGTCGTTACCTCTGTATTATGTACAGTGTTAATAAATATTTTAAGAATATTGTACCTCCGTGTGTTCAGTAAGGAACTCCGCGAAAAATTATTCTTAACCCTTGCAGTGGGGCTACCTCAGCACTGCAAGGGTTAAGTGCTCGTTTTTGACTAGGGTGTAAAAAAAAGTTATACTCACCTGACCACAAAGTCCAAATCCCATTCGCACTGCCTCAATCCTCAATCTCTTTTTCTGTATCCCCTGTTATCAATGAACAGGAATCCTCTATACTGAGTGTTCCTGTTCATTGATAACTTGAGAATATAGTATGTTTACTATAACCACAATCATGAATGAAAAGGAGGTGATGTAGATCACTTCCCATTCATTCATAATTGAGGATATATTAACCATACCATATCCTCAATTATCTACAAACACTCAGCGATCACTGATCACTGAGTGTATGTAGCCTGCTCTCCTCACTGACACACACTGTCGCTGAGTGAGCGGTGCGAGAGGAGAGTCCAGCCTCCTGTGACAGCGCTGTCTCCGCCCCCACACCGCTCTGCCGCACTGTGATAGGTGGCCAAGCGCTGTGGGAGGAGAGACACCGGCCACTCACAGCGCTCTTGTCCCGCTCTTGTCTTGTTGGCCGGCTGTCACTTTCTCTCCTCCTGGCTGGGACACAGAGCAGCGCCCAGCGGGGAGGAAAGAAATCACGGATGCGCCGATGTATTGGCAGGAAAATGGCACTTTCGGCATTTAACCAAAAGTGCCATTTTTGGCCGATATATCGATGCATCCCTACATGGCAGGGATGCCCCTATTTCCCTTATTATTTGCACTAGCAATTGAACCCCTAGCTCACCTGATCCATAGCCACACTGACTTTCTGGGCATCCCGATTGCAGTTCACCACCACAAACTATGCCTTTTCAGTGATGACATTCTTCTTTTTCTTTCAAATCCTCTTATCTCCATCCTAACTTGATGAGCTTAATTAACCCTTTTGGCAGCATATCAGGGCTACATATCAACCCCACTAAATCCAAAATACTTAACATAACACTATCCCAAACTCTTCATACCTCCCTTATTTATGCATTAATGTAACAACCTCTTATTTTACCCTTTATACATCGAATTATCCTACATTGTTCACGAAACTACACAACCTTCTTAAAACTTTGGAATACTTACCACCTCTCCTGGTTGGGCAGAATTGCTGCAATCAAGATTACATATCTCCCAAAACTCCTCTATCCCTTCCAAGTACTACCAGCCCCTATACCTTCCCATATGTTTAGAATCCTTCAAAGACAAATTTCCAATTTAATTTGGTCACAAAACCGAGGCTCCCTAAGAAAACAATGCACCACAACAGATTGTCAGGTGGCCTAGGAGTCCCACATATACAAAAATACTTTCAAGCGGTTCAGAGTGCAATCAAAGCTAAATATCACGCTACAGTAGAAGTCCCATTGTAGGTTTACCTAGTAGCCCTTAATTGTGATCATTTCACCATTGATAACCTCCTGTGGATGCAACACAAAGATAGAACTTCACTTTTCTAACCCCATGACCCGTCATTCCCTCAAAATATGGCACTCTCTTAAATATTCCAGTGGCGTACTTTCGTCCCACCTTCCCATGTTATCCTTTCTCCGTCACGCTTTTTCCCCAGGCATAGATTGTTTTCCTACGTTTCGGAAATGGTTAGCAAAACATTTTACTCATTTCTATTTTTTATTTGCTGAAAACAACATAATACCTTTTCTACTTTACAAACTAATTATCACTTACCTTCCTCTGAAATATTTAAATACCCACAGATTAAAAACTTTATTTCTTCACAAATTAAACTCTCCAAAAATGTATTGAGAATGTCACCCTTTGAAAAAATATGCAAACATTCTCTGGGTCTCATATCATTATTGTACTAACTTCTATTACATAACACAAGTTCACCTCACCGTGCCTATATGGAATGCTGGCAAGAGGAACTCGGTTCCACAATGACAGAGGACACCTTGTCCCATATATGGGAATCCACTAAAGCTTGGTCTATGAACGCTAGGGCACTAGAAACAAATGACTGTACTTCTTCAATGGTACAAAGTACCAAGCCAGCTTATGTATTGTATACCAGATCATGAAGGCAACTGCTACAGAGGATGTCAGGTCAGGGGTATATATCTGCATGTGTGGTGGACGTGCCATATTGCAAATAAATTTTGGGCTAAGGTTTAGAAAATATTATCAATCCTTATGGAGAGACATATTACTCCCAATCCCCAAGAAGCCCTTCTCAAAGTTAGGCCACCTGGATTCCTCAGTCTTACAATTTAAATTAGTCCTACATGTCCTTACAGCAGTTAAACCCACAGTATCAAATGCTTGGCGCAAAAATACCCTTTCTATATCAGAGGTTAAAAATAGGATCTATTTGACTTTTTCAAATGAAGAACTGTCAGCATGTTTATTCGACCGAATGGCAACATTTAAAAAAACATGGGTGAAGCATTTCCTCCATCCTTTGACCCCGTCTACTAAATCTTTGATCACTTTAATAACATTTAAAAATACCCGATGGCTAGTTCTGGCGCTAGGCAGTTTGCCACTGTGACGGAATGCACCGTCACTGTGCTAGTTGGAGGGGGCTGCAGGCTGGCCTCTTACCCACCGATTATGGCCCAGCAAGAGAACAGGAGATTTTGGGGCTAAATGTACATTTTATATGCAGACAGTGACTGTTATCTTCTTGGAAATATATGTTTTAAAATGGTGGAGGACAAGGATTTGGCCACATGGTTGTCTATTCAAAATGGAGACTTAATGAAGTGAAGTCAGTTGTATAGAAGTTGCATAGCTTCCCCTCCCCCTCCCCCCCCCCCCTCACCTGTTATCTGATGCTCACCCTATTGTACTGTGTGTCTGTGTATGTAAATGTCTGATCCCTGTGTAATCTGTTATCTGTGTTTGTCATGAGGGGGAGGGGAGGGGGAGGGGGTTGTATCCCTCCCAGTGTCTCTAAAGTGAATGTCCTTTGTTTAATAAAGCAGTTGCTCTTTCTATGTTGAACCTTCAACATGAATGACAGAGGACACCTTGTCCCATATATGGGAATCCACTAAAGCTTGGTCTATGAACGCTAGGGCACTAGAAACAAATGACTGTACTTCTTCAATGGTACAAAGTACCAAGCCAGCTTATGTATTGTATACCAGATCATGAAGGCAACTGCTACAGAGGATGTCAGGTCAGGGGTATATATCTGCATGTGTGGTGGACGTGCCATATTGCAAATAAATTTTGGGCTAAGGTTTAGAAAATATTATCAATCCTTATGGAGAGACATATTACTCCCAATCCCCAAGAAGCCCTTCTCAAAGTTAGGCCACCTGGATTCCTCAGTCTTACAATTTAAATTAGTCCTACATGTCCTTACAGCAGTTAAACCCACAGTATCAAATGCTTGGCGCAAAAATACCCTTTCTATATCAGAGGTTAAAAATAGGATCTATTTGACTTTTTCAAATGAAGAACTGTCAGCATGTTTATTCGACCGAATGGCAACATTTAAAAAAACATGGGTGAAGCATTTCCTCCATCCTTTGACCCCGTCTACTAAATCTTTGATCACTTTAATAACATTTAAAAATACCCGATGGCTAGTTCTGGCGCTAGGCAGTTTGCCACTGTGACGGAATGCACCGTCACTGTGCTAGTTGGAGGGGGCTGCAGGCTGGCCTCTTACCCACCGATTATGGCCCAGCAAGAGAACAGGAGA